AACTTCGTCGTCAACTACCAGTTCGGGGCCTAAAGGATTGTCGTGGAGTTTCTTGAAGAAGAAAGAGAAAACGGTAGGATCGTCCTCAACACAAGCGTCTACGGAACTAGTCAAATATTTTTAAGCAAATTTTGTAATCGATGACGACAAACTAGACATCTTACAGTGGTGGAAGAGCAAGATAGATCGTTTTCCAACACTGTCCATAATAGCTCGTGACATTCTGACAACTCCAGTGTCAACGGTAGCATCGGAGCAAGCTTTTAGCATAAGCAACCGAATTCTTGACGAGAAGAGAAGTAGAATGCATCCAGATATCTTGGAGGGACTAATGTGTGTTAAAGACTGGGAAGATGCCAGAAGACGAAAATAACAATACACAGATGATTCGATGCAAGAATATTTTTCTAACTTAGAAATAACAGAATCTTCTGGAAGCACTTAGGTTTGTAATTTACTATTCCTAGCTACTGCACTCTTTTTTTCTTCACAAAGGTTTTGCCCCGATCTCCCAACGGGTTTTACTTAGCAAGGTTTTTAACGAGGCAGTCATTTATGTGTACTCCTATTACGTCAATTCAATAAAATCACATCTTTTGGGGCATATGATATTTTTTTTAATTAAATTTAAAAAAAAATACAAGGGCCTGGGCCCAAGCCCGACCCTGGCCCTTATGGATTAGGGCCAAGGGCCTGGACCGGGCCTGAGTTTTTCTTCTTAGGCCCGGCCCAGGCACGGCCCTGCACTGTGCAGGGTCGTGCATGGCACGGCCCAGGCCCGTGATGGGCCTGGGGTCAAGCGTGCCGTGCTGGCCCGGCACGACAAGTTTGACATCTCTAGGTTGGGGTACCTCGGATTCATGGAACCCTACTCTACACCCCTACCCGTACAATGCTAGTTGGGCATAAGTAAAACTGAAAATTAAATAAAAAATTGAAAACCCGTGATTTTCGAATAGGATCGGCTCAGCTCGGTCAGGTTCGGGGTGATTTCTTATAGCCCTGCTTGTGATAGAATGCATCTTTTATAGTGGAAGAGGCAGTAACTAGAAACACTAAACAATTGTCGTTTATAACTTTTAGACATTATGGGACGTATCGTTTTAGTTAAACCATATCAAACAAAATAATTTAACTGATTACTACACATCATTTGATGGTTAATAGACTGTAGACGATCGACCTTAAAACAAACATGTTTATTTCTAAAATGACAAAAATAAATAACACCGTTTTTTTATTTCAAATGACAACAGTGAACTAATAAAAGTTAAAACCACCTCATCAAAACTTCTTGAAGAGACGGAAAATAAATGGATTAATTTTAAAAATTCCACCTGAACTATGATCATTTTAACACTTTACTTTATGAATTTTAAAAAGTAACATCCGTTTCCAATGATCTTTGTTCCATTAAAAAGTTTTTCCCTTATGTTACAATAAGTGACAAAATTCTCACGTGTCGCTTATTTAGTGATAATTGAAAGCATAATTACGCTTATACCCTCCTAATTAGATAATTCCCCATTTTTATTGAAAAAATTCGTCATTTTCCTCTTCCTTGAACAATGCTGCCACCAAGCCCACACCAGAGATGTTCGGTTTCAGTCTCGGAAGCAACGTCAGAAGTTCCTTTGTAGCACGGGATGGCGATGAAGGCTGCAAGTCGCCACCGTCAAGCCAGACTCTGGTGCGAATGCCACCACTTGTGTTGCCCAAATCGCTTACGCCGTCATTGCCGGGGTCGTCACCCTCGTCGCTGGAATCGCTGCCGACGCTAGGGTTCACCTCCACACTTTTGTCACTAAAGTTCTTGTTGTGGAAGTCCACAAAAGTTACATTACCATCGGAGCTATTTGGTCCCCAGAGTTGTCGCGGCGGTTGTTTTAGTCAATTCGTCGGGGTCGCTAAAGGTTTATGAAGGTCCAGAGAGTCTCGCGCTAGGTGGGTTTGCACGATGGTACTCTGGTACATCACTGCTTACACTAATCACATGTTTCCAAGGCGAGGAAGTGAGGAAAAAAAAGAAGCAAAATGGAAATGAATATGAGGAATTTGTTCAATAAAAATAGGAAATTATCTTATTATAAGGATATAAGCGTAATTACGCTTTTAATTCTCACTAAATAAGTGACACGTGATAATTTTGTCACTTATTGTAACAAATTGAGAAAAATTTTTAAGAAAACAAAGTTCAGAAGGAACATATGTTACTTTTTAAATTCATAGGGCAAAGTGTTAAAATTGTCATAATTCGAGAGAAACTTTCGAAATTAATTCAAAATAAATTTGACGTGTCGGGTTCTTAATCAGCTTGTGCTAATACTCAGCGAACAAGCCACCGTCTTTCTTCTCCGGCTGACTTCCGGTTCAATTTCAAGACCAGACCAGATTCCTCCGCACATTTTTCGACTGGGGTTCCTTCGGTCTTTAGCTCTTATAGCGTTGGAATCAAGAAATTCAAAAGAAAAGATGACGAGTGAGAATTCCCAAATCTATCACGAGAGGCAAAGGCTTCAATTCTGCCTCTTACACTCCCTTAACAATCTCTTTCAGGTAACAATACCCTTTTCCTCTATCCATCTCTCATTCTCTCTTTTTTCCCTTCTTTTGGTGCTGATTTTTCTATTGATTTGTTTCAAATTTCAATCGTTTGGTTGCTCTCAAGAAAACGCAATAGAGAATGAAAATGGAATTGGGAATTTCTGTTTTGACATTGTATAACAGACCCACTAATCATCTATGCCCAAAACTCTCACAGGCCTCTATTTTTTAGATTTTTTAGAGAGATTGCGGTGTATGACTTTTCTACTTTAGAGTAGAAATGGATTTTTTTTTTGGCTGGAGAATAGAAATGTCTTTGATTTCTCTAAAAAGAAAATGTCTCTATTTTCTTTTAAAAAAAATGACTTTCGTAAACTCTTAATTAATTTTCGGTAATTGATCTTGATACATTAGTTCATCAACATATGTTTTATGTATCAAATTTCAATCACTTAAATATTGATTCTCAAATTTTGAGAAAAGGAAACATTTTTTTAATTTAGAAACTGGACATTTTCCCAAAAAAAAAAAAAAAAAAAAGCTTTAAAAAAGAACTATTTTGGCACATATCCTCATTTTTCATTTGGTTTCATTTACGTATGAGTATTTTTTGTTAATTTATATTATTTTTGTAAAACTGTTTTAAGCAGCAAAAGGATACATTTACACGAGCAAGCTTGAATGAGATTGCTGACATTCTTGTTGTTGATGAGACGGAGAAGCAAACATGGACACCACTATCTGGACTCTTCAAGCCTCATCACAATACACTCACCGGAAACTACGACATAAATGTTCTATTTGCGGCTTTGGAAGGGAAAGGGAAGACTGTGATTTGGCATGATCGTAGAAATGGAGCTTCTTCCATTGATCTAGATGGGCCTGAAGATGCTTTAATGGGGATTGTGCTCAATATTCCTGTTAAGAGATTTGGTGGGATTTGGAGTTGTAGGCATTGGGTGGCACTAAGAAAGATTAATGGAATATGGTACAATTTGGATAGTGATCTTGTTGCTCCCAAAGCTTTTGAAGATGCTGAAGAAGTTAAAGGCTTCTTGGATTCCATGATTGCGCAAGGTGGGGAACTTTTGCTTGTTATGAATGGTAAACAGTGATTTCAGTTTTATTGAGATTTTGCAATTGTGTATGCGTGTTAGAACTCTGTTTGTACATGTTGGGATTTAGATGCAACACTAAGTGCCTTTTTGGAATATGGGTTCAAAACAGTAGTTTGAACCAGAGTTCGAATTTTGTAAGGGAAAACACTGTAGTAGGTCTTTTCAAATTCAATTTTTTGTGAGAGAAAATACTATTTAAACTAAAACCAGGTGAGTTTGAACCCATAAAAAAAAAGCAGCGCTAAGAAATATCAATGGAATCTATGCAGTTTTGATAGTGATATCATTGCTCTCTAGGCTTTTGAAGGTACTGAAGAAGTTAAAGGCTTCTTGGATTCCAGGATTGGGGGAAGTTTTGTTTGTTATGAATATCAAAGGATGATCCATCATCATCTGCAATTGTGTATGCCAAACTCTGTTTTGTACAGACTGGGATTTTTTATGCACTTCATGGAAAGAGTTTTAATTTTCTTCAATTTTCTTGTGTTGTGTGCACGATATTGTATGGTCTTGATAATGAAGGTACTGTGAAATGTGAATGCTTGGAAATCTCGGTAAAAAGTATCATTATTCCCATAGGTTTGATATTATTAGTTAAGGACAAGATTTTCTGATAAAATATTGTAAAACAGCTATAAATTGGTTGGCTCTTGGTAATTGCCCGACGTTGGAATATCTTGTGCTAGTAGAATGATCAATGCATAATAATATTATACAGATTGGAGTAGGTGATTATGCAAATTGAAATATTAATCTGGTCTAATCGGAGTATATAAAATCCAAAAGAAAATGTATTGCTTACTACACTATGAAGTAATTTAGCTATGCATTATTTCATTATTTTGTTTCAATTGGTACTGAAGTAGTTGTTGCTAGATTTGTTTGTTTCCTTAATCTTATAAGTTAATATGTATAATACCTTTTTTTTTTTTAAAGAAACTTTGTTTTTTTTGGGGTCTTTGTAGGGTTCAATAAAATAATAACAAAAATTTGTCTACTTCAAAGATTGATTTTAAATAAAGTTAAAAATTGTACCAAACCTCGATGTAAACATTATTGTTCATTATATATCCTTTTCTCCTGGCATGTTTTATCTCTTTTGGTGGACACTTTTTAGTAATTCTAACAGTGAATCAAAAGCATAAAAGAAAAGTGAGGCATATTGCATAAACATTGGCTTGGTTTTTCTTCATTGCATCTAAAAGAGATCCTTCCAACTTTTTTCCCCTTTCCTGTGATAATTTACTTCTGGAATCACTTTTCTTTGTCCTCTTTGTCATTTTTAATCCTCCGACCCCTTTCAATAACCACTTCCCGCCACCCCTCCCTGCCTTTTTGCAGAAACCCCCCCCTTTTGCAAAAAAAAAAAAAAAAAAAAAAAAAAAAAAAAAAACACCATTAAGGGAGGTTCATTTCTTTCTTTCTTTTTGGCCAAGAAAAGTGGTCCATTTCTTCGTTACTGTTCAGTTCACACTTGAAAGCTTATTCTTTTTTTTTTTCTTTTAAAAAAGCCTTTTCATTTGCCAGCATCTCTATGTAGTTGTAAGCTTGATAAATTATGAATTCAAGAATTAGCAAAAAAGAAGGAAATTGTATGGCGGGATATTAAAAAAAAAAAAGCGCTATTGAAAGAGTACAAACATGAAGAGCTGATTTTCATCAAATTTTGTTAATTTACCATATGCTTGTCTTAAACTTATATAATTTAACGTTTAAAACTATATTCTACTGGTAAGATATTTGCATACTCTAAAAAAATTTTATGTGATTTTTTTTTTCTATGATGCATATGTTGATGAACTTGGAAATTTGGCCTACACATTTGCTAGTAATGCTAAGGAACACCGGTAATATCCAACACAAAGTGTTAATAACACAATGTGTTAATAAAAGGCGAATTCCGAAATCGTGTATTTCGCAAATGACTGAGATTCACTTAATATTTGTTGTTGTGGTGCTAACCGTTAAGCATTGTTTACAGTTAGGCCAAAGGGCCAAGAAGACCAAGTGGCCGATTCTCTTGGACAAGTGCTTCTTTCTTTCTTTGAAATAACCGCCAAACATTTCTGCATGATGACAATCAAATCAGGGTCTCAGAAGCTAAATACCCAAAATCATTATTACTTCCCTTATTTACACTCCTTTTGGTTTTTGGTATTTTGTTGGTTGGAAAGGAATCATTTTCCCTATGCTTGCACTGCATGCAAGCCAAATGGTTGCTCTCACCTAGTCCAAGAGTAGATTTTGTATTGGGGAGTGCAAAAACTCTAGGTGACGTTGATTTATGAGTTTAGAATAATAATTTATGATATTATTTTTTAAAATTTAAATTTTTTATGAGAGAATAATATTGTAATAAATTAAGAACCATATTTCTAAATAAGATCAGAACTCTCGAAATAAATGGAGCATTAGCTCTTTTTTTCTTCTTTTTGGATGCTGCTTTTGCGTCTCTTTTCTTACCGACTCTACTCACCCCTTTTGGCATATTCTTTTGGTCTTCCTACTAACCCCTTTTACTTGCACTCTTTCACACACCATATTTTACCCACATCAAATCTTTCCTGTAACTTCCATCCCTCTCTCTCTCTCTCTCTCTCTCTCTCTCTCTCTCTCTCTCTCTCTCTCTCATGTCATTAAGAGCAAATATTCAGGATCAGCCCAACAGGGAATTCATGGAGGAGAAGTCATTCCTTTATGAGAGACAAAAATCTTATTCTGGTATGAGATTTGCAGAAAGTAAGAGGCTTGGTGGGAGCCGTAGATTCCAACTCCCCAAAGGGTCGTCAGTTTTTATGTCAGTTTCACCGATGAGATTGCTGAAGCATTTTGCTGGACATGTTGTGAGAACTCTATGCATGGTTTCTGGGAAGAGAACTCCATCACCTAATTCAGGAAAGAACTCTTCTTCATCTGCAAGATCAAAGCCTTTTGTGGCTCCTCTTGATTCTCATAGAATGGAAGCTATTGAAGATTGCATTCAGTTTATTAATTCTTCTTGTACTTTGTCAAGATCAAATTCCACTGCCAACTCTACTAATTAGAATCTGTTAAATAGCTTATCTGTGATATGTTTTTGTCTCTCTATATCTCTCGCTCTTTCCCCCTCTTTTTTTGTTTAAAAAAAAAAAAAAAAAAAGGTTAAGCTATAAGCTCCTGTCTAGCTATGTTTCTAGCTAAGATATGGATTTTATATACTCTCTTATATATACGCTAATTTCTTACATATTTCGAATGATGTCCATTTGGTCTTTACCCTTTTTTTTTTATCTAGTTTAAATTATTAAAAAATTAGCTGCTGTCTTCAAGTTAAAAAGGATCAGAGGGATTTTTTTTTTTAAATAACAGAAAAAAGTATAGCTGCATCTACTAATTAAGTTCCCCAGGTTATGTATGCGCAATTCGATTCGTGGTTTTGGATTTGGATGGATGTTTTTATAAGTAAGAGACAAATGACATACTGCATGGTTTGGTTACTCTTGTTTCTAGGCTTGCCTAATGGATATGAGAAGCAGCGCAAGTTACTCGTTCAATATCAACTTGCCATGTGACAGGGTTCTGCTTCAATATCAAGTTGCACCAATTGTTTAACTTTATATGTGATATATACATACACAAATATGATCTTGATATGTGAATGAAAGAGTAATTATCCATCTACCCCAATTGCAAAACATTTTCTTCAAGTTCCTTATACATCTAATTAATCCGATTGTCAAATATTGTTCTGTTTTTCTCTTTAAATTAAAAATTATCACGCTGCCAAGGAAAATAAACTACTATAAGTAAGATAATTTAGTTAGCTCTCTGCTGATAACGAAAATAATAATATTTACGACACCAATTATAATCTCAACTTTTTATACCAGTTTCTAGTTGTTATTTTTTTTATGTTAGTAGTTATTTAAAATATTATCACATCAATTATAATAACTGAAATTTATTACATTAAAAAATTGAGATAAAAGTTAAATCTCTTTGGCACTACTCAGTCACAAATAGTATCGAGCACCACGAGAAAATCTTAGTCCACGTAATCCTATTCCTATAGTGTAATTTACGTGGCACAACTAATGTTTATTTGTTACAAATCACTATTAGCACAGATCATTTACTATATCTATATACATTATCAAAAATAGGAATTAAAAACCCGTTGGCTATATTTAGAAAGAACAGCAATTACAAAAGTCCAACGTTCCACATTTCAAATAAGCGAGACAGGAGTTTTGATAATGATTTAACAATTAAATCGAGAAGTAATTAAAAATGGCAATAAATCGGCATAACTTATATTAATCTTATCGAGTTGATCAATTCTTGGCGAAGAGGCCCCCGAAGCCGCCCTTCTTCTTCGGCGGCACCGCCACCGAGTTCTTGCGTCCGCCGCCGCCGCCGTTCTTCTCCTCGACCTTCTTGAGAATCGGGTCGGTCTCCAGCAGCTGATTGTCCTTCTGCAACCCCCCGAGGATCCAGTCCAGCAGTCCCTTCTCCTCTTTGCTCCCTCCGGTGCCCTTCGCCGCCGTCGCCGCGAACACTCTTCCGGTCAGCGCCGGACTGAACGCCATTGTTAGAGACGCCATGGATTCTTATCTGAGAATTGCAGAACCTGATCTAACTAATCTCTCGAAGAAGGTAATGATTAGTGGCAGGAAGTAAAACGAGAAGAGAAACAGAGTAAGGTGAGACGATAATATATTTGTTCCTGAGTGTGTCCAAGTAAATATGAGCCGTCGGATTGGTTTTGTGTAGGTAGTGGAGATTTGAATGGAAGTGTTTGAAGCACGAGTTCTCCACAAGTGTCTTATCCTCATTCATTCCTCTATTTTCTTTTTTTTTCTTTCTTTTATTTTTTTTATTTTCTGTGTTTTTGGTTTTTTAACGTAGGGGGAATTTCTCGGCTCATCCGTATTGGACGTGGCCGTGGATTCGACACGTGGTAGGTCTGTGGCCGATGGACCTTAGTGGGCTTTTAGAAGCGTGGGTTTATATGTGCCTTCCAGCCCACTTCCGTAAGAACTGTCCTCAAATGAGTTGAGTATCTGTATAACACTCCCACAACCCATGCTTCTGAAATTACGGGACTGACCCTGAAAAGAGATGTGGATCCCTTTTTTTGCCCCATCGTCATAAATTTTTTGGGATTGAATGTCATATTAATATGGCATGTTAAAAGTTCTGCCACTTTAATACGAGAGATTAGAATTGTGCCACTCCAAAGGACTCGTTAAAGGTCAATACAAGAATTATATCGGAATTATCCCGTCAATTAAAGTTAATCTACTAAATTATTATTAATAACCTATCATATATTGCTCGAATCAACAGTTATTATTGATCGACATGGACAACCGGTCACCAGATTTATGTACATTATTAATATTAAGAATAATTGACACGTTTAGTCCCTGAATTTTTTAAATACTATCACTTTGATCTTTCAACTTTCAATTTCAACAATTAATTCCTCCAACTCTTGATTTTGTGACAATTTTAGTCCAATTGCAGAGAGGACCGTTTATTTTCCCAAGACTTCACCACATTAGGCTTACGTGTGTTATTATTGGAGGAGTTAGCCATTCACAAAAGAAGTAAACGTTAGCCATTTTCTAATTTTGAACTAAAACGTATTATGAACTTTTGGTTGATAGAAATATGTTTATACGTCTATGGTACATATTAGACACTAATTTTATTTGGCAGGTAATCCATTAAATTTTATATATGTGATAATATTTTAATGATAGAAGAGAAGAAATCAAAGAGTAATTACCATTGTGGGAAAGTTTCTAATGCTAACATACAGGTTCTCAAGTTCATCCCTAATGTTTGATTAAAAGTCAGATTGATCCAAACCAAACCAAAAAAAAAAAAAAGTTAAATTAATATGATTCAAACGAAAAAAAAAAATAACATTTTCATTAGACCACTAATAGCATAAACATTATATGCATTACAAAGAACAAGGTTTAACTACTTTAGAGCAAAAACAAAACCTTGTTTTAACGCAAGGAAAAAGATTTTAGGAAAAAAAAAAAAAAAAAAGGATTAACTACTACTTCATAATCTACCCATAATACAAGACCTAAGATTTAAATGTCAAAATCCTCATATCCAGATTTGTTCATCCCCTCAAAACACAATAAACACCAAGAGGACTAATATTTCCAATTGGAGCCTCCCCTACCATTAACTAGTTCTTGAAGCTTCATCATTTGATTTAGCAACAACGTCTCTCTCTCCCTCTCTCTCTCTCTCTCTGTCTCTCATCAAATTGAGCCTCCAAGTCACGGGTTCTTCGTAGAAGCCCCGGAATTATGACTGTTGATCTTGCACACGTCTTGGGGTCTTTCCAATAGAAAGTGTAGGCACCATCCCTATTATGCTGTAAAACGCCATTGAACCAATCAAAAACTTTGAACAAACACCAGATAATGAAATGAAATTTCAACTTTATCTCATATTTATCGGCATCCATAGAACCTATAACCCGGATTATTGCTCGTCCACGATGTGAAAATCTTGCTCGGCCTCTTACACTTGCACATGGGGTTTAAATCCAGTGACATTGCAATTCAACTCTATGAATTTCTTCCGCAACCTTTTCCCCCAATTTCTACCCACAAATCCACAACCCTCTCTGCTCTTATTTTTCAACAGCTCTACAAATCCCATATTATTTTACTCATTTATCCCTAAAAATGCAGCACACATGACACTCGCGTCGGAAAATCTGTGAGAAAATGAACGTCGAGCTGCTATTAGACCAGAATTGTAACAAAATCAAGAGTTGAAGGAGTTAATTGTCTAAATTGAAAGTTGAAGGACCAAAGTGATAGTCTTTAAACAATTCAATGACCAAACATGTCAATTACCTTAATATCAATAATAAATCATATTAATATAAATACCTACCAAGTTGTGGTAAAGTAACATGTTAGATTAACAACGGTAACTTGCCAAATTATGTCGCCCTTTCAACACATTGTTGAATTGCAGTGTAGATGTTACTCATATTGAATATCGCTTGATCATGGACGTTGTTCTAAGATTGCGTGACTGGTGTGTTTATCTTCTGTTTTTTTTTGGCTAAATCTCTTGTTTTTTCTTTTTCCCGACTCCACTAACATATTCGCTTTTTTTGTATCCTTATACATGTCTCTTAATAATATTACGGCACACAAATCAAAACATTTAAACATTGTTCACTTCGCGAATTTGAGCTGAGATGTGAAACTTTCTGAGAGCTTTTCACTGTAGCAGAAAAAGTTAAATGTGACATTTTCTGAAAGTTTTTTACTGTAAAAACTTAAAATTAAAAACTCAAATCAGTGAAATGAACAAGACCTTAATTGACATGATATTTTAGCCAATTTGTGATGATATTATTAGGACATAAACGAGGTAAAGAATTAGGGACATGGGATTCGAATCCCTTTTCTCCATGTTGATGTCTTTTCGAACTATTTGGAGTGGATCCCTTCGTTTGATTCTGTGTTGGAACCTATCGAGCTTTTGTGTTTTGTTTGGGTTTCGTTAATATATCACTCGTGACTCGACACTCATCCAAAAAAAAACCGTCACGTGTTGCCGACATTTGACTTGAGAATTTATCTTATGTGTAAACCATTTTTGTTGAATAGCACGGTAACCCGAACAACTATTCGAAAGAAAAATCATGGGTTTGGTGTCCGTTATTACCTCAACAAAAGGAAAATGAAGAGAAGTGTTATTCTTATTCTTATTCTCATTTTCTTCTTCACAAAGTTTTCAATTTTTCATGCTATCAAAAACTACTATCACTCAGAGAGTCAATGCGGTGTCCTCTCAGGTCTCAGCTTGTTGTCCTTGGTACACTTAATATTTTCCAAAACGAAACAACCCAACTTCTTATTTCGGATGAACCGTCTCTAACTACTCTCTATTTTTCTCTCACGTTATAATATAACTGGGTCAAAAAGAACGCCAAGAAAATCATATCAGTAGACTTGGCTTGTGGTCTTCATGATCAAAACTGACCATCTCACTTATGGTCTGTAAATTAAGGTCCTTAGTTTTTTTTTTTTTTTTTTTTAGAAGGTAAAAGGCTAAAAGGTTCTTAATTACTTGTTGATATATGGTTTCCATAAATGAAATATATATAATACTCCATTAATATTTCTCACATGATGGCCGGATAGCGACTACGTTCAAGGACTCTCTCTCTCTTTTTTTTTTTTTTTTTTTTTTTAATTTTAGAGGTCTAAAAAAACTCTAATTTATTGTATACTCTATAGCAAAAGGGAAAAAAAAAAAAAAAAAAGGAAAATGAACAAACAAACAAATTGAAGTCCGTCCAAATAAATTTTTAGGTGAGAATAAAATTGAGCTACTTTCTTTCCAAGTCTAAAATAGCTAATTTATACGCAAAAGAAAGCAACACTAAAGATTGCCGCAGGCTTCTATATGATACATGAAAGTATCTCTTAGAAAATGCACCAATTAATAAGAAAAGGTGATAATAAGTATTAAAGTTGCTTTTAAAATGAAGAAATATCATACTGCATGAAGTGATGACGTAATAATAAGAATGGGGACAGGAAGGGCTAGAATGGGCACAGGAAATTACATGAAACAATTTAATGATAGGGATGATAACAGGACAGGGGCGGTAAATGATTTCTCATCCTCATTTTAGTCCCCCAAAACCATCTCTATCCTCACTAAAGAGAGGGAGGGTGAGGGTCCGAAATTCTCCACTAGTGTAGCCTTCCTTATACCTACCAAATTCTCATCTTGTAACATATTCATCCATTTCAAAATGGCTTTTTTTATACAGACACCACATCACCTTTTTGAATTTGGCAATTTAGTTTCTATTTTTTTCCCAGGCAATCAACCCCTTCAACTTAAAAATTTTTGCACTTAAGATTCAATCGAAAACGTCGTATGTTTTCTTTACGTTTCTGCTCATGTGGCACACACATGAGAGTTTGTTGAGGTCAATGATAGTTATTTCTTACCTTTGGAGCGTCTATTAGCCCAATTAACCCTTAAAAGTTAAGAGTTGTTTATCACAGCTGATTGTATTCTGACACATTACACGACTCTAATATCACTATAATCGAAAAATAGGGCGAGCAATGACCTTTATTACTCTCAACAGATGCTCATGTATGCTTCACATGATCAAATTGTTAAAAAATAAACGTTGTTTTTTATTGGATCTTAATTGTAAAGATTTTCAAATTGAAGGGGTTAATTGTAAAAAAAAAAGAATAGGGATTAAAATTGTCAAATTTGAAATGTTAAGGGGGTGTACGTACAAAAGGTCTTTAAGAATTATAGCAATTAAACAGAAAATAAGGTAAAAATTTATTGTTATATCTCGCATAAAAGGTTTTACAAAACAAACTAAATTTTAGACATATGCAAAATAAAGTTTAATAGTAAAGTCCAAAGGACTATATGTTTAAAAAAGTTAATATTATATATATGTTTCTTTGTATAGAATATATAATATATGATTATCAAGGCGGAGATGAGGTTGGGAATGCTTTCCAGTTTTCCTATCATAACGCCACTACGACTTGTGGACAAGATTTTATTTCCATTTATGTCCCTATTTTTAATCATTATTTCCCATCCATATCCCTTTTGGTGCTAAACCCGTCTCCATAGGAAATATTGTCGTCCGTAAGTAATGATTAAAATCTTAACATTACTAATTGATGGTATGGTTTTAACTAATTGTTGTTCTAATAATAAAACAAAAAATTACACAACTAATTTGCTGATTGATTAATAATACCTACGCTTTGAAGTAATTAATGTATTTTAAGGCCCAAGATATATATACTTCTTCACAAGAAGAAGGGTTGCTACACTTGCACGAGATGTTTTATAATAAGGCCATTGATTGAGGTAGCCACTAAGATAACCAGAGCTTTGTTTATTGTTTACTAAGTTATGCATATTACATAGGTTTAGATCAATCGTGACAGCCAATTATAATATGTCACGTCAATTCTTCTAAATTTTGTAAACTAATCGAAAACTAGATCAATACACATTGAGAATTAATCGGCTATAGGTTAAGGTGCAAAGAACATTGTCATAGATCCAACACTGGGTTATTGACCACAAATATTTCTCACACATGCACCATAAACTAATCATTTTGCATGGTTTTCGTGTATCTACGTCCACATATGCACAGTTCCCTTTAATAATATCAACCCAACAGCTACACTCCAATGACACAAAATTCCTAACAACTTTTCCTAATCAAACCGGACCCATTATATATATCAATATATATACCGTCTAAGCACCATTGTCTGTATGTGATATCCATACGTAGTGTGCACATAAACACAACGTATTACAAAACTGATTAATTAGTACTACTTCTCAAATGGAAACCCTACCTCTTCTCCTTACCCTAGCAGCTACTATATCTGCATATCTCTTCTGGTTCCACTTCCTCGCCCGAAAGCTCACCGGCCCAAAGGTATGGCCGGTCATCGGTAGCCTCCCGGCTCTCATCGTTAACCGTGCCCGAATCCACGACTGGATGTCGAACAACCTCCGAGCCACCGGCGGTTTATGCACGTACCAGACCTGCACAATCGCCCTGCCTTTCTTTGCCCACAAGCAAGGTTATTTCACCGTGACATGTCACCCCAAAAACATCGAGCACATCCTCCGAACCAGGTTCGACAACTACCCGAAAGGCCCCAACTGGCAAGCCGCTTTCCATGACCTTCTGGGACAAGGAATCTTCAACAGCGACGGAGACACCTGGCTCATACAGCGCAAAACGGCGGCGCTGGAGTTCACCACAAGGACTCTACGGCAAGCCATGGCCCGGTGGGTGAATCGGACCATCAAGAACCGGCTGTGGCGCATCTTAGAGAGAGCCGCGCACGATAAGACCTCCGTCGACTTGCAAGACCTCTTGCTTCGCCTGACTTTCGACAATATCTGCGGTCTGACGTTCGGAAAAGACCCGGAAACTCTGTCTCCAGAGTTACCGGAGAACCAATTCGCCGTCGCGTTCGACACCGCCACGGAGGCCACTCTCGAACGGCTTCTCTACCCGGGATTCCTATGGAGGCTGAAAAAAGCGTTCGGAATCGGCATGGAGAGAAGGCTAAAGAAGAGCCTCGAGATCGTCGAAAACTACATGAACGACGCCGTTTCCGCGCGCAAGGAAAACCCTTCGGACGACTTACTCTCCCGGTTCCTGAAAAAGCGCGATGTCGAAGGAAACCTCTTCTCCTCCTCCGTTCTGCAGCGAATCGCTCTGAACTTTGTCCTCGCCGGCCGAGACACCTCCTCCGTCGCTCTCAGCTGGTTCTTCTGGCTCGTCATGAACCATCATGAAATCGAGGACAAAATCATAAAAGAAATATCAACGGTCCTGAGCGAGACACGCGGTAAAAACAACCATGCAAAATGGATCGACCAACCGTTGGATTTCGACGAGGCCGACAAGCTCGTTTATCTGAAAGCGGCCCTGGCGGAGACTCTGCGTTTGTATCCCTCGGTGCCGGAGGACTTTAAATACGTCGTGAACGACGACGTTTTGCCCGACGGGACTTTCGTCCCGGCCGGTTCGACACTCACGTACTCGATATACTCCGTCGGGAGAATGAAGAGCTTGTGGGGAGAGGATTGCATGGAGTTTAAACCGGACCGGTGGCTGTCGGAGAAAGGAGACCGGTTCGAACCGCCCAAGGACGGATACAAGTTCGTGGCGTTTAATGCAGGACCCAGGACCTGCTTGGGCAAGGACTTGGCGTATTTGCAGATGAAGTCGGTGGCTTCGGCAGTGCTGCTTCGTTACCGGCTGTCGCCGGTACCCGGTCACCGGGTGGAGCAGAAGATGTCGCTCACGCTCTTCATGAAGAATGGGCTTCGGGTTTATTTGCAGCCGCGTGAGCTTGGAGGAGGAGGGGTGGCCGCCTCGGCGTAGAGTGGGGGTACTTTCGTAATTTGGAGGAGTTGGGTCCACAAGGGATGGGGGCAATTTGGTCTTTCAGCTTCTCTGTGTGGGGGTATAAAGGTCATTTAATTTGTATTTACTTTTATATATACGTTTTCTTTTGTTCTATTTGTTTTTTACTGTGTCGTTCGTTTGGGTGGGGGTAGGGTTGAATTTTGAGTACAGTTGTTCATCTAAGTTGTACCATTGTAATGTTTGTCTAATATTCCATAGCAGTTGTTATGGATTTTCACGTGATTATTATTAATAATTAATAATAAAGTCAATTCAATACTTCTCTATTTCAACCTACTAATAAGCTATCCCTAAAAAGTGTTTGGTGAATGAAAAACATTTTGTGGGAAGGTATGAAAAAATATTCTACATGTATCACATCTTTTTTTTTTTTTTTTTTTAATGGATGTACACAGCTTATATATATGAGTTCATATTAGACTTGTATTAGATAGAAAAAGTATGATCATTTAATACTATTTGAAGAAAATCTAAGGTGAAAGCTGTATCCTTGTTTGGTAAAATATGAAAATACTGTATACTTTCAATATATTTCTAACATAATCCTGAAAGGACACAATATTTTCATACTTTACCAAACAAGCCTCTAGAAAGAAAAAAAAAAGTTTTTGGTCTTTGAAAAGCATCCAGGTGGTCAACAACTGCTCGACTAGTCCTCCTAGCACAAAAACCTAGTAATCGGAGTTTTTTATACATGCTCCAAACCTAACAACAGGCTCTGTAAGGGATTTATCAGAATATCTTCAAAATAACCCTACGTGGTTGAAAACTTGATAATTAAATAATTAATGTGTTACCATGATAAATCAATAATCTATCAACTAAATTTTTTTATTTTTTTTTTAAGAGAGAACTCTTTTTTAATTTAGCAAAACTTGAGATATTTAATAAATGAAAGGTCATTCACCATAATTTCTCTAGTTTCTCTAATTTTCTATGACGTTATCTCCTCTTAAAAGCCTTTGCGTTCAGTATTCCCGTACATTTTTGTGTTTTATAACAACAACAGCAAGTCTTAATCCCAATTTAATTAGGGTCAGCTATATGAATTTTACTTTTTCACGTAGCTCTGTTTGAAATTAGACTTTCATGAAAGCCTAAATCTAGAATATCTTTCCTAACTACTTCGGTCCACGTAATTCTTAGTATACCCCTCCCTCTCTTAGTATTAGGCATAAGAATGTCCTCCCAAGCACGATCTACTACTTCTAGTGGTCTACTTTAGACATGCCCGTACCACCTCAAGCGGCCTTCGCACACCTTATCTTCTATTGGTGTTACACCTACTTTACTACGAATAACTTCACTACTTATGCGATCCATTCTCATATGGCCACTCATCCATCTTAACATACACATTTCTGTCACACTCATCTTAGATATATATTGTCTTTAATAGCCTAACATTCACTACTATATAACATAACTGACCGGATTGCAGTCTTATAGAACTTTCCTTTCAACTTAATAGGTATCTTGACATCACATAAAACTTCCGTAGCATTCTTCTACTTAATCCTATGTTGAATATCCTCTTCTATATCTCCTTCGTACTGCACTAACTCCGTCTATGCGTTTGTATAGCTGGTCTCAAGCCCGGATAAAGGAAGAGGGTTGCAGTAAGTTAACGGCCAACGTAAAAATAAAGTCACTCTCATAAATTTTACTTACACATAATCTGTTTTATAGATTAGAAAAAAACAGAAAAACAAAAATTGGACCTCTTATCTTAGTCTCATACAGATGAAATATAGGAGAGTGGTTGACCAGCCATTTTTCCTAGCGTGGCCAATTACGAGCAGGAACGTGTCTGTAGTACAAGTTTAACCAACGATATCTTACGTGCCAAGACAAAGAATAGCAGACAAAGAATATAATGTAAAAAGAGAAGAAAAAAAATGGTATTATACATCTAAGAATATAATTACATAATCACAAAAAATTGATGTGTTATAGAATCAAGTATAACTTTACAAGCTGTTGGGGCTATTTACCATGTGTTTCTCCTTTGTTGAAAAGCTACGGAAGTCCAACTAACCCATCAAACTTGCTGTGTTGGAAGGTGGACAAGAATTTGAACTTTTGTAGTTTCAACTTCCATGTTCCATGTCATAATGATCTCAAGATTCTTCACGCCCATGAATAGGAGTAAGAGTGTGCAGTTCTTCTGTGCACTTGAATTTCTTACAATTTCTGTTCTTTTCCTTCTCTCCATTTTCACTTTTTAACTCCTAGGATTGCCTCAGAATGAACAGCCACGTGTTAAAAATAAAGCATTCAATGATCAATCTATGATCTTTTCACCGGTTGAGAATAGGTTCCAGACAACAGTTCCAACCAAATAGAGCCCAACTGAGACTTCGAAAACGTTGTCCCAAGAACCTGATAATTGTCAACATGGACAAGTCAGAAATATTACAACGGTAACAATGATGTTATCCCAAAATATTTGAAGCTTTACAAGATAGGAAATCGAAAAACATTACAGTGCATAGACCGCATAATGGCTGTTTTGGGTATGCCATTTAGACATAGGTGTGAGTGGTTTATGTAATTAGTCATACCTTCACGGACCACTTAGACAAAGATAGCAAGTCCCTCACCGTAAGGTTAAAAAAATTCAAGATTTGTAATATCTGAGCTCTTTGAGGTACAACCACATTATAAACGCAACATCTATCTTCTTTCGGAGACACTTCATATTACTCATTCACTTGGTATGATATATAGTCTGGTTTTGAGTCCAAGCCCGCACAGTTTTGTTTTGGGCTTTATCTAAAAAGACCTCCTGCCATTAGCAAATAGTGTCTTTACTTATGAACCACTATTTGCAATGTGTGACGCACAGTTTACCCTTTCTCTTTAGCTCTCCAGCGGATTCAACTCAAGGCATTGATGACTGTCATAGCTTGACTCGCTCAAACACAGGTGAAAGACATTACAAAGATACTAGGACCAGCTGACTCTGTATTTCCTAATTAACTGAATTAAATCAAAGTAAATTCTAGGCACCAAAGAGTCTTGAGGTTGTGTTTTTACACGCACAATCAACAGAGCAATTATTATATGTTTTGGTTATAGAAGTATGCGGCACAGGAGTGTTGTAGCGGATTATACTTAGGTGTAAACACAAAGTGAGACCAGAGTAAATATTTAGTATTTGGATGATTTCATTTGTATTCATATAGCTAAAAATCGCAAGAGATGAGTACTAACCATGTTGCAGGATGTATCCCGTTGAAGCAGTTCCGAAGACACCAGCAAGAACTCCAGCAGTGTTGGATAGACCAAGCAATACTCCCTACAGAAAATATATTCAAAGAAATATACAATCATCAGTTTTCTCTGAATATAGGCTTTTGTTGCAACATCAGTACTGTCACAGCATCGCAAATCCAACTAATGAGAGAGAATTTAAGAGCCAAAGCACGAGATTGGTGGTCATAATATAAATTTAAGCTCAGAATCTGAATAAGACTAGCACATGCAAGCTAACCAAATATGAAACTAAGGCCTAATACTTACAGAATATCGTGGAGCAATATCTTGATGGTTTGAATATAGACCAGACTGTGAGAATGCATCAGTTCCCTAGATAATGAAAAGAAAATGCAAGCATTATGTCAACCGTAGGTAAAAGATATGTTTAGTAAAAAAAAAAATTATATTGTTTTTCTCTTTGCATATTTAGAATCAAACCTGACTGCATGCCATACACAATACAGCCATTGCCGGAGAATCAACATGGCTCAACTGAGTCAGGAAGAAAGCAGGGCCAAGAAATCCAATTGTTTGCATGATCTGCAAAAGGAGAATAGACAGCAGTTTGATACGCCAAGCAGCAAATCGAGCCAAGAAAATTTCACTAAAGCTCATATGAACTCAAAGCAAGTTTGACGATTAAATCCGGCAACTTGTATATAAATTCCAGTTAGTAAACCAACTTTGATATATTGATTCAATTCCATATAGCTAAAAGTAGCATGTCATCTAGTGAGTTCAAGCTCGAAGTTGCAATCAGACTGCTGATAACATCTAAAATAGTTTTTAAACACCGTCACTGTAATATAAGTAAAACCCCTGAAGAAACCACATGATTTCTATCAGGAAACGTGTTTTCTTAAAAACTCATAAAAGAATAATTGTAGTAGATTAAAAGCGAAACAAGTTAATACCTTGCGTACAGTTGTGACAGATACACCTTTGCTCACTAGGGTATCTGCAATCCACCCTCCAAGGTTTGCAGAGAATGCCATTGTAAGCCAGGGCAAAACACAAAAAAGCCCAGATTCGGTAAGATTGAACTTCAGAACCTATGATTATGAAAAAAAAAAAAAAAAAAAAAAATGTTATGACAGTGAATATACAATGAGATGTCTTTTCCAATAAGCTATTAAATTGAGCTTTGCAATTCCAAAGTATAAGGCACTGTACTAAAATACTACATCTTACTTGATGATAGTATGTAGGCATCCATGTAAGAAGAATAAAAGTTCCCCAATTGTGACAGAAATGAGATACTATAAGTGCCCATACAGGTGCCTTTGACAATATTTGCCCCCAAGGAATCACTTTAACAGGTTCTTTGGAAACACTATTTGTAAGAATTAGCTTCTTCTCCTCAGGTCGCAGTCGAGGATCCTCAAGAGGAGAACTATATGCCTAGAGACAATCCAAGAAAACAAGGATAAGAGTTTGATCAATTTATATATATACAAAAGCGTTCTATTCTTATAGACTGAAATTTTGAGGTCAAAATATAATCATCAAATTCTAAAGTCACCTGATTTAGCCATACTGTAAACCAAACCGTCCCCAGAGAACCAAATGAGTAAAATACTGATGGCCATCCGAATTGATGTATTAAAAGTGGTGAGAAGGCCAAACCAGTGACCGAACCAAGGTACATCCCGCTGTAAACAAGAGCTAACGACCTACTTCTCTCTGCTACAGGAACCCATTTTGACAGAATGTTATTCATTGCTGGCATAGCAACACCCTGAAACAAAGTAAATCTCGAGTTCTTGAGACAACATTATTGTTTGAAAACTCATTTCCAAATTTCTTTTTCCCGACAAGAAACACTAGGTTCTGCAGCATAGCTATGATAAAGAAAATTTCCCTTCCATATTACAGAAGGGAAATGAAATTGCTTTACCTCTCCAATTCCCATGAAAGCACGAACCACAAGCAGGAAGGGCAACCCAAGTTTAGCAGCAACAGGAGTGAGAACTGTAGCAACAGACCACCAAACAACTCCAAATCCCAGCACCTTTTTACCACCCACCGTGTCTGCCCATATCCCACCAGCAATCTGTTGTCACTACAGCTATAAGCCTCAAGAAAAAGGTGCAGTAGCACTTAAATTTTTGTTTTTTAAACAATTTCTTCATAACTCAAATATTTCACTTAGAGAAAGTATATCTATGAAAACTGAACGGTTTTGAGCCGAATTCTATGTCATATGTGCCGTTTGTTTTACGGGTTTGAACCACAATTCAAAATTTTCTGTTAACAATGTTTTCTCTCAAAAAAAAAAAAAAAAGAATTTGAATTTATGTTCAAACAAAATTCAGAGCAATAAGTCAACAAATAAATGAAAAAAAAATAAAAAATAAAAGTGTATCACAATTGATAATTCATAGTTCATACCTGAGTGAGGAGATACCCCCAGAAAAATGAAGACTGTATCAAACCAACAGTCGCCGGATTCCAATTGTACTCTGATGACATTGGAAGTATGGCAATGCTCATATTCACCTGCCAAATAAATTAAATTAAATTAAATAAATAAACCTCAATTCAGCATAACATAACAGTGATAGTATTAGGGGCCAAAAATAAAGTGCTTAACAATTTTCCCAGGAAAAAAAAAAAAAAAAAGAGGAGGGAAAAAAGAAAATACTCTATCAAGCTTACTCTATCCATGTTGCAAAGAAGGAAAGCCGAGAAGCACAAAACGACGATGACCCAACGCTTAGGAAAAACTTCCCACCAGGGGCCCACGAGCTCCGACTCCTCCTTCCCACTATCGACGTCGTCGCAGGCATCCTCGAACTTCACCGATGATTTCGGGACCGAGTCGGGGACCTCGTAACGCTTCGACTTCACATCGGCCCACACTTTCCAAACTCTCCTCCTCGAAACGACACTGAAAAAGCCGTGTCGTTCGGACTGGGGGTACTGAAACCGGAACCGGAACGGGGTCTGGTGTGTGGAACCGGAGGCGAGAACTTTTCTGGGCGGCGAAATGTCGGGCTTCGGAGAGAAGGAGAAGAGGAGAGCCGCCCGGGCGTTCATGGCGCGGAGAAGAGCATGAAAGTTGGAAAGATGAGCACCACTTGGGCTTTGGCAAATGGCGTTGAACGACACGGAGATTTTTGTTTAGAGAAGAAAATGGTGAAAGGGAGATTTTGATAGGGGGAAAGTGCAGGGATATTTATGGGGATTGGTTCTGGTTGGGACACGTGGCAGTTGTATGGAAAGAAAAGATCGGATTGCCAAGGTAAGAGATTCCGTAACGTCTGTTGTCTTGTCTGCGCGCGCTTCTGTTTTCCGAATAACTTCTTTTTTCTTTTTTTTTTTTCCTTCTTCCTTTTCTTTTCTGTTGGAAAAGTTTTTGAGGAAAACGGAAAACGATTTCTGTTGAATTTTCTATTGTTGAGCTGGACATGCTGCATCGAATATTCGAATTATATTGGGTTTGGCGTATGGGCTATGGCCTAAGCCCGTATATAAAGACTTTGGTCCATAAGAAAGTCAAAAGTAAGAAACCCCAAGAAGAAAAAATGAAAAATTTACGGACTTTTACTTTTATTTCTTAATAAATACTCTTCTATTAGTATAATTATTTAATTAATAAAATTATGAATCAAGAGTAAAAAATAAAAATTTTGACCCATACATTTTAAAAAATATTTATCAAAATTACCCCAAAGAATGAATTATTTTAACAGTAAATTAAATAGCAGGTTCTGATTTACCTAGTAAAGTTTTTATTCACTTTAAATATATCAACATCTTGATATTTTTGTATCAAAAAAATCTTTCTATTTACTTATTTTAGTTTCGTAAAAGTACTCTTACTATAATTTCTGAAGTAAAATACATTAAATTTTGAAAATATTTGAGAAATAGTACATTTTCAGAGTAATTATAATGACAGTCACATTTAACGTTCTATGTTACATAATTACATAGTAATTATCAAAATGGTTTTATTTTTTTTGCTCCGAATTGTGTTATAGGATTAAATTTTCTAGTTTCTCACTAGGCTTGGTTGTAATCATGTTTTCCGAAAACTCTGTCGTCGTTTATAGGATGTAGTTGTCGATTTCATGTTCTTACGCAGTTTATACATTTTACGTCGTTTTTCAAACTGTTAACCCTTTTTAGGATTTTTTGTTTTTAATTTTGTTGTTGTTTTTTCTTTATGCTATTGTCATGTCATTTTAGTTAGTAAGTCGTTTATGGTTTCGAATTGTTCTTGATTTCAGTATCGTTGTCGTCTTTTATAGTTGTCATTGTCTTTCTATTTATTGTCGTAAATCAATATCAATGGTTGTCATTTTTCACGCCATTTATCGCTTTTATGTTTCACGTTGTTTTTTAATTGCTCTCGTTTTTATCTTCAGATTTTGTTCGTCTTATGTCTTATGTTATTCTTAAGGTAATTTTTGTTTCTCTATTTTGTTGTCATTTTAGGTTGAATCTCATTTCCTGTATGTTGTCGTTTTTAGATCTTATGTTGTTTCACAGTTTTATGTATTTGTCCAACTTTTCCTTATTTTTCTCATTTTTGTGCGATAGTCGTGTGCCTTTTATTGTCGTTTTCAGGTGATATGTCGTCGTTTTATTGTCATTGTAGTTTTTCATGTTAGCTGTCGTTTTCCATGTTTCATGCGGATACCAAGTTTTCTGGCCGTTGACGTATTTCAGGTGTTAAAACATTTATGCGTTTACTATCGAATAGTTCTCTTTTTCATCAAATTGTCGTTTTCGTGTTTTGTCGTTTTATATTTTATTTTCGTTTTCATGTTATAGTTCACTTTGATTCTCTTTATCGTTTCCAGGTCATATAATGTTTTTCACTTTCATGTTAGTTTTAAGAATTGTTGTCGTTCTCATCTGGTTGTTGCTTATTAATGGTCATCTCTGTTTTTTTTTTTTTTTTTTTTTTTTTTTTTAATGGTCTTTTTTTTTTTTTTTTTTTTTTTTTTTTTTTTTTTTTAAATCGTTTTCTAGTCGTTGTTGTTTTCGGGTCGTTTGTTTGTTTTATCTCTTTTAGAATAGTTCTCATTTCCCATATGAATTGTTTGATAGATCTTGTCGTTTTTCTACATTATTGTCGTTAATATTGTTATGTCGTTTCTCGAATGTTTTTTTTCATGTGCTTGTCGTTTTTCAAGTTGTTATTATGGTTTGTGTCTTATGTCGTTCTTAATTTGGCTGTCATTCTCTTGATGCTACTTCTTAGCTCCTATAAATAAAAAACCCCCCCCCCCCCCCCCCCCCAAAAAAAAAAAAAAAAAAAAAAAATCGCAAATCTTTGTTGTTAAATCTTCAAAAGACTTTAATTAGCTAGATTACCCAAATTCTAAAACATGTACGTATTATGTTCACGTGAGTGAACATGAACCAGTAATTAAGCAACAAATATAGACGCTGCCGAAAGCGAAAAGAGACCTATCAGGTCAGAAAAAACGAAATTAGGTAGTATAGGAACAAAAAAAAATCAACCCTACAATTAGTAGAAACACGATGAATGATTCTTTTCAAATATATATTCAAGCTCTAAAGGACGTAAAGGATTTTATGAAATCTGTCAGCTAGCCAGCTCAATAAAATTCCACAAAACAACAAATTGATACGTACCAAATTGATCTACAGTGATATCTGTCAGCCTCACAATACATTGAGCCAAAAACAAAACTCCTACCTCCATGCATAGCCTGTTAACCTGTCTACACAATTATAGACTAGAAAAAATAAAAAATAAAAATAAAAATCTGTCTACAATTATTGGTGCCCTTCAAAAGTTAAACCAATCATACTCAAAACAACTGCGGAATTATTCCTTCAGAAATTAGAAACTTTCTGCAATAATGTTTTACTGTAAGTAATATTACCGTTTCACCAAAAAAAAAAAAAAAATCAGAAACTGCATAAAAGAAGAGCTGTGGAACAACAGCATTTGTTCATTTATTATCAGTGCTCTTGTCATTTGTTCAACCGTTTTCCGCAATGCTTCATTTGCAACTGTATATGAATTATCGTCACTTTTTTTTTCCTGCAGTTGAATTATCATCACCGTTAAACACCAAACATCATTTAGATAAAACCATATTGCACAGAACTTCTATATATATATATATATATATATATAGTTGGACAATATAGGATGCCATATCAACTTAAACTATAATAAGAAAGAAAAGGTCCAAAAGGAAGAGAGATGCAAAAGAAAAAAGCGAAGAAGGAATTGCACCTAGCTTGGTGGGAACCAAAAGAGTTTTAATTTACGAACTTAAAAGTAAATTAACCCACTAATCTAAAACAATGGAAGCAAAATATGGTCAATTTTGAGTATTGAAAAGGACCAGAATATGATTGAAGGAGAAACGAGAAAACCAAAGGGTTAAAAAAAAAAAAAAAAAAAAAAAAAAAAAACTCAAAGCACACACATCGTCAATATTTTTTCTTTTCTTTTCTTTTTTATTTTTGCCGTTAAATTAGTCAAAATTCAGCCTTGAACATTACATGGCGTGAATTTGCCGCACTTTCAATATTTGTATATGTATTTGATAATGTCCAACATAAATCACATACTTTCTGAATAAATTTAAAATCACGCTACATTGATATTATAAATTATTATATATTGTAACTTATATATTGGTCAAATGTCGAAAGTACTGCTCGGGTGATGTATTAATATAAGTGGGTACAAGCATGATGTACATGTGGCCAAAGACCATCACCAAGGCACAATAACATTTTACGAAATGCATACCTTACAAGTTCTCAACTACCTGAAAAATGAAGGTCTATCTGCCATCTTTTGCCATTAATCAAAACTCTGTCGGCAGCTGTTTATCATGCTGCTTAGAGGAATAAACCAAAAAGAGAGAGATAATAAGAAAAATAGCTATAAAAGCAGTGTGTGTATATATATATATGTATGTTTATAAAGCTTTAATTAGTTTGTCCTAAGAGAGAATATGGAATAATGGAATCATATGTAACCTTTCTTCTTTTTCTTTTTCCTTTTTCCTTTTTCCTCTTGTCTTTCTACCTCTTTACAAGTCAACAATGTGGTCAAAAGTCAAATTGCAATCACTAACCAGCCGTCCCAAAGCAAGTTAATAAAATAACTAGGTCGAATATGTGCTTATATCGTTTTCTAGATGAAATTGAAACCGGAAAGTATTAAAACACATGTTTCGTTGTTGTTGGTTAGTCCTTGAAATAATCGCTTTTTTTTAAGCTGTTCTTAATTGAAAATTGGTACAAAGAAATCCAAAACATTGGACCGCATTTACCTAAAACATTGACTAATCCAGCTTTATTGAAATGTAACATGAATCCTTTCACCTATTAATTTGCTGAATTGGGTTTTTGAGCAACCTAAGATTTAACTGACTTTAGTTTGGTGTAAATTGAGATTAATCAAAGAATGTTATTAATCATGACCTTATATTAAATGGTAGAAATGGATTGTATCGGGTGGCATATTTTATTGAGCGGGAAACACGGAGATTTCCATCAGAATTAAAGAGAAGATCACAATGGCCCACGAAAAATGAAAGCTAGTAACCCGCCTATTCATCTTATGGCCCACCTTGAAATGCTTTAGAGGCCGGGGCCCACAATGAAATGATGAGACCAATTGGTATGTAATATATCACGAGATGGAGGCAGAGATACAAACTCGTCCTACAAGTAAACGTGATTTTCTTTTCTATGAAAAAAAAAAAATGGAATAGTGAAAAAATAAGTCGCACATATTAGGAAAAAAAAAAAAAAAAAAAAAAAAAAGCTGAATAATGCAACACATGCGAACTATCTCGACACACTAATTTAGCAGGTGGACTTTGTCATTGCTAAAACAATGAGAAAGAACTTTCTATACACAAAATTATATTCAGTTTTTACATTAACTATTCCTTTTTCACTGAAAACTTATTATACTAAGTGATAAAGAATATTTACTTTGGAGGGAAGATAAAAAATTATTATATATGAATATCTTCAACAGAAACAAATATTTATGATATATTTTTAACACAAAATAAATTTGACAAAATCTTAGTAGTATATCATATGTTATATAAATAATGTTCACTACTCGATAAGAGTGCTTAATTATTTTTTCCTTTTTTAATTAGTTAGCCATCATGGAATTTCAGAAATTAGTATAAATAGATAAAATATAAAGTTTGCCATGCGTGGTATTAATGCGAATAATGTGTGTTGCGTGTATGTTGC